AACCAAGTAATCAACCACCAAAGAAAACACAAAGAATAAATAATATTAAAGAGGATAATATTTTAGATCAAAACTAACTCTGCCATATATATTCCTACATGACAGGGTTAATGGCCAAAACTTTTAAATACCTACATGTAGCGTATCTACTCCCGTAGCGTATCTATCCGAGTAGCTACATAAAATCAGGAATTTATGAGAATAAAAACGAATTAAATATATAGAAAAGAGTAAAAACAATTATTGGATTTTCGATAATACGTTATTATCATTTTATTACTCTATTTGGTAAAAGACAAATTTTTTACGACACCGAAAATTTAGAAGCAGACTTCTTAATTGGATACAATTTTTTTAAAGAAATTAATGCAGCGATCAACTTGAAAGAAAAATAATTGATAATAAATAATGAAGAAGACATATTTAGCTTAGGAGGTGAATCTGAGCAACAGGTAAAGGAAATTTAAAAGATGAAAACATTGAAGGAGATATAATTACTTTGGGAGCAGAGACTCCTAAAGCGCCAGCTGAAGATTTATACCAGCATATTGAATATATTAAAAATGAAAAATATAATGTGGAACAAAAAAGTTCTACAACGCCAGCCGATGATAATATCGGCACCAAAAATAAAAAATAGAATGTGGAAAAAAAACCAGTCGATGTACTTACCAACAATAAAGAAAATCTAAAAAAAATTACTTTGGAGGAAGAATTCTCTGAAGCACCAGCCGAAGAAAATACCGGCATAAATAAAGAAAAAATTGAATATTTGAGGGAAAAAATTAAATTAGCCTTTTATAACGAATATTCGTGTGGAAATAAGAACCTCGGTAAATACTCCAATTTGGAGCAAACAGTATCAGTATCCTTTAGCATCAAATGCTTTTGTGAATAAAGAAATCGATAATCTATTAAAAAACGACGAGTTTTACGACCATGTAGAAGTCATTATAATTCCCCAATCTGGGCGGTATCAAAAAAGGGTATCAATGATGATGGAACACCAAAATTAGGAATATTAGTGAATTTCAAAAAGCTAAATGAAGTTACGATTTCGGATACATATCCGATACCAGAAACAAATGTTATACTTTCAAAACTAGGAGGATCACAGTATTTCTCCACAATCGATTTAAAATTAGGATTTCATCAAATATTAATAAAGCCTGAGGGCATCGAGAAAACTGCATTTTCAGTAAATAATGGAAAATACGAATCTTTATGAATGCCATTTGATTTAAAGAATGCACCAAGTATTTTCCAACGAGCTGTGGATGATATATTTAGAGAATTTATTGGAAAATTCTGTCACGTATGTATATATTGATGATATAATTGTTTTTTCACGCAACTTATTCGATCATATAAAACATTTGAATCAAGTAATCTACCCACTTAAAAAATCATTGTCAGAATTTTTTGAAAATGATATAATTAAAACGGATCCGCATAAAGTTGAAGCGATTTACAACTTTCCATTACCAAAAACAGTACGACAACTTCGAAGTTTCATTGGAATGATTGGATATTATAGGAAATTTACCAAGAATTTCGCAGCAATAGCTAAACCATTAAACAAACATTTATCAGGAGAAAATGGACATGTATCTCAGCATATGTCAAAAAAATTTAAGTTCGATTAGAGTAGAACACAATTTTAGCAGTTGAAAAATTAAAACAATTACTAACCAATCTAGTAGAATTAACTCAACCAGACTTTAATAAAACATTTATATTAGCAACTGATGCCTTAAATGATGCATTAGGTGGTGTATTAAGCCAATATCGAGGAATACCATTATTGAGGAATATGCTCTGAAAATGATTTATAAACCGGGAAAAACCGGCTGATGCCTTATCCCGACAAAACTTAGTAATATAACTGATGATTCATCAGAAACGGACACACAACATTCAGAGCTCTGATAATACACAAATTCAAGAAACTAAAAAACCATTCAATCAATTCAAGCAACAAATACTTCTTAATAAAGGTCGCTTGTTGTTGAATATGAATTTAATGACTATTTTAAAAAAGTTCTTACAACCAAATCTTGTAACTGCAATATTTTGTATACCTGAAGACTTATATGATATAAAAGTTAAATTAAAAAAAACATTTACTAACAAGTCCTTATTTACAAAAAATTTCCCCATGGATATACCAAACAACGAAGACCAGGGAACAGTAATAGAGCGAACGCATAACAGAGCGCACAGGGGTTTTGACGAAAATATTAAACAAATCTCAACTTTTTACTATTGGCCAGAATTGCATAAACAATTCAAATAATATATTAGAAATTGTGAAATTTGTAATAAAAAAAAATATGATAGATATCCCTAAAAATACCTATTGGAGAGGTCCCTATACCTAAAGAGAAGGGAATAGATATAGATAGATATATTTTATGCACAATCATTAAAATTCATTACATGTATCAACAGTTATTCAAAGTTTTTAGTTATTACGTAATTTGAAGATAAAATTTATTAAAAGATAAAGTGTTAGAGACATAATATTACAAGGTTTCCCTAATGTAAAAAGAATAACAACCGATAATGAACCAGGATTCACTACGGTACAATTTAAGTCCCTGATGCAGAGACTTCAGATTGCAACCCAAATCATAGCACCACAAACGGTCAGCTTGAGAGGGTAGATTCAACAATAATTGAAATTTCACGATATATTATATAAAACAAGAATAAAATTCAATCAGCTTTTCGGAATCAATGTTTAGAACCGCTCAAATACAATAAAACTATACACTCGGTAACTGATAAGAAACCATTCGAAGTCCTTTATAATAGGCCTCTCATGACAACTTACCAGACAAACTTTTATTAGCACAAACTAGGATGCTAGAAAGACAAAACAAAAATAGATTTAACAAAACATATTTATGTGGAGATGTTATATATAAAAAATTACAGGGGAGAGAAATAAGCTAAAGCCTAGACACAAGAAACAAGTAATAAAAGAATATTTAGAGAATAAAGATTCAATTAACTACAGAATTCTAATATTAATTGTTCAAACAATGACGGACATTGTGGACTATACAAGAGAGGATTATGTCTTATTAGAGGACGGCGACGTAGCTTTATATAATGACTATGGCAACATTTTTCACATTCTAATTTAACTTATTTTAGAGAACTTATAAATTCAGACAAAAGTTATAGTAATAAAAATACAGATATAATAATTTACAAGGGAATAATGAAAATGAGGTAGCATATATTAATGATTTAGATACAGAACCAGAAATTGAAATTATCGAAACTTTATTAGAGCAAATACAAAATAAAGACACAAGATATAAAAGAGGGATAAATGAATTAGGGACACTACGGAAGTGGATAGCAGGAACACCAGATCATGACGATTTAGTGTTAATAAATAAAAAGTTAAACGAACTAATTGAAAATAACAATAAACAATACACAACAAACTCTGAAATTTTTAAAATTATCAGTCAATTAACAGAAACAATTAAAAATGTAAACGAAAATTCACACGTTAAACTTTTAATGAAAATGAAATATCAATTTTTAATAACTGAACTACAAAATATGGTTCATACGATAGCTATGGCAAAAATAGGAATTTTAAACCCTGCTATCTATTTAGATGAGATAAAAAATATAATTCAAAGTGAATACGGACGATTGACTATAACTGATTTAATGGACATTTCTAACTAGGTATTACAAAATCAAGATGTAATTGTTATATAAATTAAGTATCCAAAAATTATAAATGATTGAATGAATGAATAAATTGATGAAAGTTTTTAAACATCATTCATTTTTACGGTACATAATTGTAATTTTGTTAATAATGTACATAATTTATAAGATTGTAAAATTTAAAAAATCTTATAGAACTTCCAAAATAAATAAAAATGAAGAACCTCAAAAAATATCATATAACATTAGCTTTACGCTAATTATAAACAAAACTGTATCTTTGCACTTAGCAATTATATAGCCTCTTAACAAGCATCTTTGCTTATTTTAGTAACTGATATTCTTTTTCATTCAGTTAAGACCATCCACAAAATGTAAACACTAAAACCAATTATTGAACACAAAATGTAAGCAATAGCAAATAAAACCAATTACTGAATAAGCTAATATTGTAACTGACACTCTCTTTATTGTAGGAATTAAGCAAATAAAAAAATGTATTAATAAGAGTAAATTGAAATTAAGAGCACAGTTATCCATCAGAATCACTCAAACTATCGTTTTGATTTCTTCCGCCCGTTCGTGGAAAACCATGTATTTTTTAATACTTATTAATCGAAGGAAGTTATTTTACATATATTATATAAATCAAATAATTAGGTAATAATACAATCCTTACTTTATTATATATTTCCAGAGATTTTATGGAATTCATCATGAAATGGGTAAATTTGAACATAGATACATATGTATGTATGTACTATATACTTATGGCCTGAAATACCAAATATATACAGATTATCTATAGATTATCTATAGATAATATGCTGAGTCGTTTGCGCATTGTAAATAAAGGAATCTTTAAGCGTACATTACTTAGTATTGGAATCAGCATAATTTTTCTCATTTAACAGTGAAAATGTTCAATTCTGTTATTTTTTAGATTTTTTTCCAAGTATAAAATCGAGATTGATGAACGATTTTTAGTTAAATGTCCATAATGTGAAAAAAAGTTTCACTTTTACCGTGGTTTCATAAAACTACATAATTCTTTTTTTATTTAGGAATTGTTTTACTTTTAATATAATTGAGATATAAACTATCCAACCGTTTAAGTTGAATCAAACTGAACGCAATGTGCTAAATTTTACTAAAATCGGTTCAGTAGTTTAGAAGATAACCTCGGAGAAAACGTGACACGTAATTGTTATATTCATACATGCATATACTTGTACATATATGTATGTACATACATAGATATTTTTCGATGAGATTAGGTTCTCATTTAATTAGACATTACGCACTTTTATTACCATTTATTAGCCTTATTTCGATATGCCTATTAGATAATAAATATTTTGTTTAAACTTGCTAAGCTCCTTTTCATTTCTCTCTTTTTCCCGCAACCTCTTTAGAAATTCCTTGTGCTGCAGCCATACCACATATATTTCTGGGTCCATTGGGCCCCACTTCTGACTCGGAGATATCGCTTTTTTGATGGTCTAGATAGTAAAAAATTTTTTCATTAGCGTGTATATTTATATATTTTTATGTTAAATAAATACTTTTTTGAAGGTGGCTTCTTTGTGAACATACAAGTACCAAATACCCCACAAGGGAAATTGAAGAAATCCAATTAATAATAATATCCAGCCGACAACTGCAATGACACATATTAATACATTCTTCATATAATAGATATTGTTTATAGTTGGATGATTTCATACCCAATGCATGATTAATAGTTCAAACAGTCACCGACGCAAAAACGTGGACCAAATGAGCTGATACGACCTATCTTATGAGAGCGCAATGTAAATGAGCACTAACCACCGCTTCTACAGAACTTACGGTATGATATCCACGAAAATTGAATTTTTCCCATAGAAACGAGTGAGAGAGCAATCTCTTGCAACGCAGGGTTGACAGTCTCGATATTTTGTAGTAATTAAAAAATAAACTTGAATATATTTGAAATATTCTTAAAATAGCTCAAAATCACAGTCGAATACATTTATTTATAAATACAATAGGTAGACTTTTTTTAATAGTTGGATTTTAGTTTTGACAACATAGCCGCCAGTAAATGGACACTTTACGGTTAGTCATGAATTCTACGTCATCACAAAAGTTACGCAGACCTACATATGTACAAGATGTTAATGAAATTCTATATTCTTACAAGTTTGTAGGTTTGCATATGTGTTAGTAATTCAAAAACTGTAAGGAAAAAAACTTATGTCTTAATAATACTTTTCGTACCGTAGAACCAAGTTATACCGACTATTTCAAAAACTGCCAGAGAGAACACTATGTAAGTTCCAGCAAAATAGTCCACAAGATTTAGAATCCATTGTCCAGCCTAATAAGTTGAAAATAAAAACATATATAAATTAATCTAATAATTATTGGTTTATTAGATATAAAATGAATTAAGTGCAACTCACCGGCGTTACATATAGTATACTAATGCCAAATTCGATTATTGTTGTTATCAATGAGGCAAGCCAGAACCTTTTTAATTTGAATTGGTCACAGATAATAGTTACTAAAGCACTTTGTAGTGCCGCTAAGGTACCGATCCCGAGAACAAAAAGCATGAAAAAAAATAAAACCGAAAAAAGCTTTTCGGTGTTTAAAAATTAATATTTTCTTAATTTATGGAAGAAGTAATATTTCGCAGACAATATATTTAAGTGTGCATTACTATATCTACGGATAACTGTAGTTGAATTGTGGTCATAAGTTTAAATATTTACAGGGTCAAATATTTATATTAGAAAAATGGAAGCTAAGAGAAGTTTCGACCAGATTTTTGCCATTTTTGGAACAAGAGGATGATGTAACTTCAATTCGAGAAGTCACAGATTGACCAAAATGTTTTTTTGTTTGGGCATAATATTAAATATCGTTTTTTCTGATAACTTTAATTATGTTTGATTTGTATACTGTGAAGTGAAAGAATTAGATAGAATTCAGAAGATTGTCAAATGAAAAGTAGGCTTAGTTGTTTTCCTATTTCGTTCACAGTGTGTAATAGAAATATTTGAGTAAACTCACGAACCAAATTTAGTGGAAATTGCTCAAGAAATTCTTGATATACAGGATTTCACCTAACGGTGGGCGCAGCTACGGCCATTGACCAATATTTACACCTGCTCCTATAAAGCCCTTCCTTACCATCCTTTTTGTGAAATTTACTGTTTGTGGCGTACTTATAAAGGGAGTTACCGCCCTTTTAGTAGTTTTCAACATCCCCGACATATGGGGAGAAGGCGTGATTATTATCTAATTTTACTCATTTTCTTAGTAAATAAAGAGGTACTAAAAGAACTTCTTTTCAGGAGGTATTGGTGGATATTTTAGCCTTAGCGGTCAAGCCTTCTTTTAAAAAAATGTATCCAATAGATGTCCCTCGCTACTTTGATCCCTTGTATTCAATTACAGTTATGGATTTTAATTAAGTGCTTAGTTATGGCTCTTTATAGGTTTTCGTTTAATTCCGTTTTGTGGGCATGGCAGTGGTCCGATTACGCCCATCTGGAATGCTATCGTCCCTTGGGTGCCAAAGAAAATAGGTAGTCAGTTTCATCAAGATACATAGCTCAATTTTTACAGAAATTATCGCTTGCACGGACAGACGTACAGACGTACGGACAGACAATCACCCGGATTTAAACACGTCTCGTCAACCTGATCGTTTATTTATACATAACTCCATATCTATCTCGATTGGTTTTAGGTGATACAAATAAGCGTTACGTGAAAAAAAATATTATACTTTGTAGCAACATGTTGCGATAGTATAAAAATTCTGCATATGAATTCAACATTCGTTGTTCAATGAGATTGTTAATCGATTACTATTAATCAGAAGCGCGGAAATCATTTATTCGGTACATAAGGGTTAAGGGAACATATGGACCGATTTCATTAAATTATCCAAAATAAGATGGTCGCTGCCACTCTCACTATTATATTATATTCATTAGCTTTGAGCACTCTTAGTAGTTTTGAACATTCAGCATTGTTATTACCCGATATCACCCATTTTCATACTATATAAATAGTAGAGTGAAATGAGTTCACTAAGTTCGGTGACACAGATTTAGTATTTTGTGATATACAAGTATGTACAAGTATATAAACCATAAGGAGCGGAATCACGAGCATTTTTCCATTTTTTTTTTAATCGCATATATCTCTTCTTACAATGATCCTTTTTATAAAACGAGTAGTTAAGTCTTCTAGCATGATTTCCAATTAACTGTAATTTGTGGGAGTGACAATGGTCAGATTTCTCCTTACTACAAAACCACAATTTAGTGAAACATATTGCGAGACTATAACAAATAAGAACACTAAACTAACAATGCAACAATATTAACAATGTTTAAAAAATTGTATACAACAAGGTTTGTGTATAAATCAATGTTCGTTTTAATGTGAAATTGTCTACCGCTTTCTTTTTTAGCTATATTTAGTATGCTTAATCCGTGCGCAAATGGCACCTACATCGCATAATACTTGTAGTACATGTATGTACATATGTATGTTGCAGCCTAGCCTAGCGGGGTGAGCGGCGACCACGCGACGTTTTTCTAATATTTTTTACATTTTTAACGAATGGAATGTCCGAATCATATATTTCAAAAAGTTATATAAAAGTATTGAATAAATCTTGAATACGAAGTAAATAATTTGGTTAAGGATTAATAGCAAGTTACGAATTAAGAGCTTTTACAGAGGCGGCATTTTAATTACATTCGCGAAATTTTTTGTAGAAAATTATATGTTCTACAAAGTCGTAGTACTTTATTTTGTTCTATAACCAACAGTACTCGAAGCGCATACGGTGTAAATAATTTTTTAGGTGAGGTAATGTACATAGCTTGCCAACAGTGAAATAATTTTTCAAATCCGTCTAGTAGTTTCGGAGCCTTATCAACTCAAACAAAAATTCAAATAATTCCTCTTTATAATATTAGTGTATGGTAGATATTCTCTGTCAAAAGGGCTAAATTCAATATTTTGGGTATGGGAGAATAAACCCAACCCAATAGTCGGAAGTCATTATATCTGGTGGATGACGTTGAAAGCAAGCTATAGACCTAATTCATTGATATTTAACGTTAAACCACATTATGGTAAAGAAATCTAGCAAATTTTATTAATAGATGACATTTAACATCGTAAACGGTTTAACGGAAAGCCAAAACAATGGAAGTCACTATATCGGGTATATTGGGACTAGGTGAAGATCTAGACTAATTGCGTCGACTTTTGACACTACTCAAGTTATTCATGTTTTCACGCCATTTTATGAATGTGACATATTCGGCGTAAATTCTGCTAGAATAACGCAAATCATAATATTATATTATATTATATATGGTATAAGCGAGCTGGGATATTTCGCTTACCGATTTCACATATACGTTCACATAATTCTACTAAGATAACATACATATTGACCGATAGATATGGTGTAAATCCAATTGGAAGTTTAAAATTCTTATATTTATTAGGTATATATGAGTTGGGAGTAGTATAGACCCGATTTTATCAATTGCCATACGAGTATTACCAGATAAAGGTGATCTCTGAGTTTCATTAAGATACCTCACAGAATGAACGGTATGGTATTGAGTCAACATTAGGTATGTGAGTGCTAGGGGAAGTATTCGCCATATTCTATCCATTTTCCCCATAAAGGCACACTATTACACAGAAAAAGATTCGCTTCGTATTTGAATAATATAACTTACAGATTGACCAATGTTTTCGGTAAAAAATCAGCCATATGTAGGTATATATATAAACTCACCTGTGGCACAAATTTGAATTTGGCAATTGCATCAGGATATGAAATAAATGCTAATCCAGTGCCACTGCGCACCACTTCTCCAATATTTGGTGCATTCAGATTAAGCGCTAAATTTCCTAGTATTCCAAAAATAGTAATGCCAGCTACAAGAGATGTAATGGTGTCCAATGTTGTAACAATCATAGCATCTCTAAAGGGGACATTTTTTATAATGTATTGTCATTGAATATGAGTTTTTACCTGTAAACTTTGTAACGAAATTGATTATGTGACGAAAACGCCACAATCGGTCCAAAACAAACAGCTAAAGAGAAGAAACACTGAACTACTGCTTCTTTCCACACCTGAAATTTATCAAGAACAAATATTGCAATCATCATTTAATATTCTAATCTTGAGAAAGAGCTAAAAGTTATTTATATATTGTATATACATATATATAACAATTTAACATAATAAATTATTTTATAATGCTAGTCACATATGTACATCCAATGAAATTTTTATGATACACTAGGTACATTTATAATAATATAATATTATATTATGAAATTAAATTCTTTATAAATCATACTAACTCTGATTATGCAAACATAAACATTTTAATACCTTCATATTAAGCAATTTATCCCATTCAGGTTTTAGAAAAAATATAATTCCGTCAACAGACCCCTCTAAAGTCACAGCCCTTATTAGCAATGTTATTAGGATTACGTAGGGGAATAGTGCCAAAATGTATGCAACCTTTCCCAAACTTCTCATACCTTTGATCAAAATTAAATATGTAACTATCCAAGAAAGCAAAAGAGTTAATATAAGTCGCCAGCTTGGAATTCCAATCCCTTCAGATATATCGTCCAATTCTCTCAACACAGTTTTACTATAAAGTATTGTGATTTACTTCTTTATTTTAATTTTAAATATTTAAGTAATTGAAGTAATTAAATAAAACACCAACAAAATACTATTTACCTGAAATATAACTCGGAGCTGCTTTGTAATTTTTCACTTGAGGTAACATTTTCACGGTTTGAGAGACTGGAGCCGACGCAGTTTACCCAATCTTCCCTACAATACGCCCATGGCAAGGGCGATTGAAATGATACAATGAAGTAATAAATAGTTACCGCTATTAAAGCCGAATAGTACGTTAAAACGGCAAACGTCGCTATTGCTTGCCCGATGCCCACTCCTAAATTTATACCACATAACCATAAAGGTGTACCAGTTATTGGATCCCACAATAAATAATTCATGAAAAATTTTTAATTTTGAATACGCACCCATAAATATTGGACAAGAAGACCACATCCTCACAGAACTTTTACTGGCAAACTGGCCCAAAAGAGCTTCCATGTAGTACATAGGTTTACCTATTAATAATTTAAACATATATTAATTAAAAACTGAATTTTTACTTACATAAATTATTAGTAATGCTATTGAAAAATATGTTTCCAAAATTTGAAATGAAAATTCCGATTAGTTCTGTTGCTATAAACCGTAAAAGGGAGTAGCTCACCTTCAGGCCCCAAACGAGATATTTTTTCAAACGCGTTTTTCTCAAAAGAACTTTTTGATTTGCCTACAAATTAGTTTCAAAAGCTTAACCGAGAGATTTTATCAAACGCGTACTTCTCAAAAGGACTTTTCGACTTGCGTACAAATTAGTTTCAAAAGCTTAACCAAACATTTTGAAAAATGGCAGTTATTTTCCTCATAGTATTCCACTTTATGTGAACCTAAAATTGAAATATTATAAAAATAAAAAGCATGCTTTTTTATTTTGACGCTTGTAATAAATACATTTTTCTATGTTTTAATAGCATTTATACGTACATAAAAAAATAATATAATACATACATAAAAAAATAAATAAATTCTGATTGTAACCCGCTAATTTTCTAGTATATACTTACCATAAATATATGTATTATAAAATATTTTCAAACTTTCAATAAATTGAAAATCATTTTAAGAAAATGCTGTTCTAACACTATTTTCTTTTTTAATTTAACGTAGAAGAAATGGTTGGGGTGATTTTAAAGCCTTTTACACAAACGCTTGTAGCCAATTTTTTACTGCAGAACAAAAAGGAAATTCTTTTTTGAAAATTACTTCAAATATCGTTCAAATCAATTATGTCATATTTAGATATGTATATAGCAAATAAAAATATATGAGCCGTTCATTTTGAAAGTGGTTTAAGCCCATTTTTTCTTATATTGGAATATTTAAGGGTTTGCGTTTGAATTGTTTCAAAAATATTGTAAACTTGTATTAAGTTGTGATTATGGCTTTGTGACCTTAAACATGTTAGAATATATAACGTAATACGTTTTGTAAACTTTACTAGAAATATAAGCTGTGTTTCAAAACTTAAAATGGACTTAAACCATTTTCAAAATTAATAAAATTACTTTTTTGTTTGTGAAAAGGAATAAGTTCACTTTGTGTTTAATATTATTAAAGTTTATTTTTTTACTTCAAGTTACTCCACAACATTTTAATAATTCCAATACAATTATTACATGGGGTTGATTAGCTAACAATTTTCTTTAGCTTCACAATAATATTGAACAAATTATCCAAAAGAATTGTATACACAGTGTTTCGTCTAAATAGTTATATTTTTAAGGTAAGTTCGTGAAATTATTATTTTAAAGAAATTAAATAATAGAACTTGTAAATATTTTATTTTTGATGTAGATGAATGTAATAGCTTTAAAGTAAATGGGGAAGCTTTCAATTTAGATATATATTTTTATTTATGTATTTAGAAAAACATGTACTTATGCTATGTTTCTGATTTTTAAATTTTTGAGGTTCTTTAATATACAAGATTCTACTTCTTGAGAAATTCTCGATGTCACAGTTTCATTCCAGACATACATGTAAACAGACAATTTTAAAAAAGGTAACGCCTTTTCTAAGTCTAATGAAATAGCGAAATATACATTTGGATTATTTCGGTCCAAATCTTGATCTTCTTTTACACAACATCTTAAATGAATAGTATGCACTTCCCTGAGGTTTTCCTTTTCCCCGTATTACAAGATGCTCTAATTTTAAATTTCAATTGATCACATTTTTGACAAGTATATTTTTATGGGTGATGAAAATTCGTTTTTAAAAATGTTTGTATATGTCCACTCATAAACATTGCTTAAACTATTTTGTTTACACTCTTTCAGGTATAGATTAAACATTTTAGTAACATTTCATGCAGGGTGTAAGTACCTTCTACTTGGATTATGAGACCTTGTGTAATGAGATTCATATTGAAGAAAATATTTAATATGATTTTTACGGCTTCTCTATCCTCTTCATTAATTTTCCTAAAAGATCCTGGCATATGTCCACGCAAATCAATTCCAATATTTTTACATTTTTAAATACGTGGTTATCTTTCTGTTAATATATTATAACAAAATTACGTGAGTAGTTTTTAAGTAACATTTGTAAGTGTTTCTCAAGCGTTTACGGAGCACAATATGCTGCTCCGTAGCTAAATGATATACATAAATTTTGTTTATTGAATTCCCCAAATTCCAAAAGTTATCAAAAATATTTTTCCATTCTTCTACATTAATCAGATTTATGCAATTCTTTAAACAATGACAGTCTATGGTCTTGGTATATTTTTGGTAAATGTATAGTTAAGGTCCCCCAACTAAGGAGGCCTCAAAAATGAATTTTTTTTTTNTTTTTTTTTTAAATCGCCTTAGTTGGGGGACCTAAACTATACATTCACCATATTTTTTCCCAGATTTTATTAATCTTTAAGCGTATTTATCACCATTTCTTTCTGGTAACTCATTCACTTTTAAAGAATTTGTGCTGAAATCATACGGCACTCCATCATCATCATCTGAAGACAAATAATTTTCTGCGATTCTTCTTCTCTTTATAGTACTATTAGAATTATTGGTTTTTAAAGCATCTATCAGGTATATATCCATTGAAAATAGTAACCGATAGTTCACAAGTTATTTTAATTATAAGCCTAAAGGAAAATTCTTTTTTTATCACCAGTGTAATCTTTGTCAGACATATTAAATATTATACAATAATAAGAACTTTAAAAATTATATTTAATAAACACAGCTATTCTTATTGCACTGTTAAATAATACTAGAAATTTACTTACTGAAAACACACTCATATGACACTAGACTTAAATTGTTTATAAAAAAAAACATTATACAGGGTTGTGATTATTGTTATTATTAACTAAATTCTTATTAAAATTTACTTAAATCACTTTCAAAATAAACGGCTCATATATATCTATATATTATATGTATAACCGACCACGAGTTGCTGTGGCTATGGTAAACATTATATACTATTATAATAAACTATTTAATACAGTGAAATGTTGTTTTTCAATACAGGCGAAATACTGTATAAGAATCTAAGGGATTGTACTCGAAGTTTAATTTTGAAAATGATTAATACAAATAAATATTTGTTAATAGAAAAAAAATTTATTTGCTATTTGATATTTTACTCAAAATTACAATAATACAAATTTTTTTGGAATAACTCTTATCACATTCTTTTTTTTATACTAAATAAAATTTTGCCAACACCTATAAGTATTTCGCCAGCTTTGATCCTTTCAAGTTGCAAGAGTATAAAATATTCGGTTACACTCGAACTTAGCTCTTCCTTACTGGATGAAATCAGTTTTACTCTCGAAAATAAGAAGTGCTTATGGGGTTTTCAGAATGTTATGATCACTTTCGACAAGAATTTTCTTGTAAAAAAATTTTTTTAAAACTTGATTATATAAATTTGTTTTTTTAAGTTCTTAAGTATGTATTTAAATTTATCAAGAATGAATGGTCCACATGCAAAATTTAATTTACTAGACTGGCTGCCAAAATTTTTAACGCTTACCAATAAAAAATAACAAAATTATGTATGGTACCAGAAAAACTCCTCCCCCATTTTCGTATGCGATGAATGGAAACCTCCATATATTACCCAAACCAACTGATACTGATATACAAGACATTAAGAAGTCCAATTTTCCAGACCAATTTTCACGATCATTTTTAACATCAGCATCGATGGGTAGCGTATTTTTTTTTATCCATTTTGTTTCAATTCCAAGTGAAATGCGTCTAAGTTGCCTGAAATGCTAAATTGGACTAATATTGCGTTTATTCCAATTTGGCTTACTTCTGCTGTCTGCATGGAATGTGTCATAAGATAGATACCGCGAAAGTAATAAAATAAAACGTGAAACTTGAGGCGACCGAATTTATTACAAAACCTAATGATAAAACAATTTAGACGTCAATAGAATGAGTACAGAATTCCATAAATTCAAGATTAAATTAACAGTATACTACATTCATTTATTACACTGCTTACTCCTGTGTTAGTGTCACTTATGTGTATAAGGTAGTAATGAATTAAAATTGATTACTTTGAAAATATCGGATGGATAGCAACTCATTCAAATATTGTATGAGTACATATGTATGTGCAATATTCTATGTGATTCTAAAGGTCTTCATAGACAGTGGTGGCGATGTGAGTGCAGTAGTTGTTAAACTTATCATTTTAAGAATGTTAATTATTCTCTTCAATGTCTAACGGTGATAGAAAATCCAATCTTGAAAATATAAACTTTAAAAATGAAAAAAATATGTGAGTACATAGAACAACAACAAGAGCTTAGTATTCCTATGCTGGTTTCACCAATACACTCACATTTTTAATGTCAGTCGTGACGGTCAACTTACCGTCACTGTTATTGTTAAACAGAGACATCTTCGAATTATATTGTGTAAAAATAAAATAGCTGAATCCTTTATTACTGTCACCACTGACAGTCAAATGAAAAGTAAAATGACTGTCAATGTTTTTGAACTTTCTCGAAATTACCTATGGTATCTGGTAACAGTCAAATGAAAATTACCTATGGTATCTGGTAATTTCGAGAAAGTTCAAAAACATTGACAGTCATTTTACTTTTCATTTGACTGTTTGATGCAATTGCAAAGGCCTGATCCTCCCGTTGTCTCATTATTTCTGTTAATTAAAGTATTTAAATAACTCCTATAAAGGAGACCCAACTAAAGTGCTGTATGTATCATTGGGATTAGGAAAGAATATCCATCTATCTCCAACAGGTGAGAGTTGCTTCAAACCACCAAACACTATGCTCGGTATACCACCAAAGCGGCTGTCTGTTTTGAAAATTTGTTTTAATCTCGCACCAACAGAGCTAAACATACGAGCGCCTACCATCGATATTTCATCAATTATAAATAATTTTAAATTGATAAGTCTGGAATACAATGAATTAACTATGTCATTGCTAAGTGGGCTCAACTTTTGTTTTTAGCTGATGCATCAAATGTGTCAAATACGTTCTTTGCTTAGTATTTAGGCTTTGAACTTCCTCAACTGGAATTAAAGGCGGTAGTTTAATAAGTATAATATTGCAATCAGATTTAGTGCTATTATCTATTGAATCTTCACCATGTAAGTCCAGCAAATTTATATTTAGGACTATTTCTGGAAGTGCCAACACTTGGCACTCTTTTTCCACGATAGATAGTTCATTTTGTGCACCTTGAGATCTTGATGGATAATAAAGCATTACCATTTCGCGGAAATACTCAACTCTGGCCAAATCTGGGTTAAACCTTCTATACTGAACTACTTGATATAAGATATACCAAACTACTTGAATATAAGATTTTTTAACAAAACCGCGTCTTTAAGAGGCATGACAATCCCGCTTTCTAGTAAATTATCGTCTTCCCCCTTTTCTTCTTCATGATCAATGCCTTGTGCTCTTCTACTAGATTTAAAATATTTATACTTAGATGCAAAATCAGCTATACAAAGAGTTTCTAACTGATCGGATCTTTGAACAAGACGGTCTAAAATACTTACTAGGAATATTTTAGTCGAACCTAAAGAAAGGTTCTGAAGTTCCGCTCTTGGTTTTACCATTCGAACACATTCCTCAGGTCGAGAGGTATTTATAAATATTTCTGCATTACTTGCCTCCGAAAGATGGAGCCCAATGCAGCAATATACTCCTTCTTGTGCAGATATTTCTGTGCTTGATATAAATTTGTGACCCATATGTTTAAGTTTTTGGTTAACAGTATCATTTACAGCCTCACCCTCTGATATAGCTTATTTTAAGATCCTAAAAATTTCCCTTGTATGCATATGCATACAGTATATATTGGATATCCACATTTGCTCTATGGAGTTCCAAAATCAGAGATATCAGAAAAAATTATAAGCGTTTATAAAACGATCCTGTAATTTTCTTTTTAGAAAAAGTTTGGGTTTTGATAAACTGGATCTAAGGGCTCATCAAAAGACATATTACATATTTATTCTACTATCAGACAGGAAATGCTCAAAATATTTTAAATTAGAAATGTCTTCTGTAGTCATACGTTTTGAATATTGAAAAAAGTTGTCCTTGTGGCTTTCTGAATTTTGACTTGTTTCTTCAAGAGGTAACAGTATTTAAGTTGAAGGCATTGGTGGATATGATATACCAAAATGACAAAAATGTGGTCCTCTCATTTCTCTAGTATAAGACCGACTGTGGTTATGCTTTTGAATAATTTTCTAAGTGACTGACCAAACCATCTGTAGAAATATAATTGTCAATAAAACTAATGACATCAGGGAATGTCTGATGATCTTGAAGGTTGATCCTGGGAGGATTATTAAGCCAATACATGTCATGTACATGCGAGGAACCTCTCTGTTAAAACTCCACTCTCCAGTAAAAATTTGTGACAAAATGTTCTGCAAAAATTCCGGCATTATCTTTAAAAAGCTTAAGAATTTGTCGATAGTGATAGTGAAAATATCTAGCACAAGTAATCGCGTCTCTTCCGAAACATCTTTAGAATCAACAGTTTTAGAGAAGATGACCAAAAGATCAATTGTTCAAAATGACAACTCTTCTGAATTATTATCTTAAATTATGTCAATTGGTCGTTGTCCTTCACCTGGCGCTATGACTAAATGGTTATAGTCCAAGTTTTTTGTAGGAATATTCAAATATCAAAAGTGTTTCTTGACCGCCTGGATTTAGCTCTGAAGGTAAAAAGCTCATGGGAATATAATTACCAGAAGGATTATCATGAGAAGTTTGTGCCACATGAAAAAGTTTAAATAATCGGGAATCCTCTGCAGATGCAACAAACGAAACTTCCTTTTGGTTATTAAATTCTGAAATCCAGTTCTCATTAATATGTATATTGTGCTCGCGCTACAGAGGGGTATTCACTAAGAATTGCAAAGCTTCCATAATCTTTTCGTGGCGTATGGTATTGATCATGTAATCATGATTGTATTCCAAACACCTTCTTAAGTGAATTTGTATCACATGAGCCTCATCAAAGGACTTTGGTAGAGAGGTCACAATATTGTTAACAAAAATTGGTATATTAACAACAGCACCTTTGAGAGAACTATGACCTTGATTTCCTATTGGACAGATTGTCATAAACGGCAATCTAGCCATTATGAGTTCTTCAATTGGGGTTTAATCTTTCAAACAATCCGGTATTTCAGGAAAGTCTAGACCGTTAGCTAAACATATTTTTAGAACGTTTTTTTTAACAATCGCATTTTTGCAAGTAGCACAAAAGTTGCAAATTTTTGCATTAAAAAGAAGGCGGATGCAGCTTTCGGGTGACCTTGCGCAATAGTTTCGAAATTTAAATTGCGAACTTGGGGTGAAAATCATAATCCGCCGCAGCAAATACATATTTCAGTAGGACCCTTCTTTATATTTTGGAAATAAATGTTTTTGAAATCTGTTAAATTGCCACTCTTCTCTCTTTGCATTTAATCACGAATGCGCTTTAAATTCCTATACTCAGGATTTCTTTCGCGAAGTTTTCTATGATCCCTAGTTTTCCTACTTTGCTTATCATGGCGAACCTCGGGATTCTCGACGAGATCTATGAATTCGAGTATCTCTTATTTGCTCTTCAGAGCAAATTTGTAGATCTTGCCGCCTTCTGCTATATTGAACAGTATTTCCAACCTGCTTCGGTCTCCGCGCCGAGATCTTTGACTTCGAGTATTTCTTATTTGCTCTTCAGAGCAAATTTGGTAAGACACACCCCTGTGTTGAACAGTATTTCAATTTTGTTCAAACGAGCGTACCTCGAGATTTTCCCTCCTGGTTCTATGTTGATTTGTATCGATAATTTGTTCGGACAGACGTACATCGGAATCTAATATACGATTATCATGACATACATAGGGTATTCACAAGGGGTCATATTATGTCATATCGTCATATTGTCTTACTTTTTTATGACTGTCATATCGACACTTTTGTTGTTTCCCATACAAAATTGAAATACGACAAATACAACAAATACAACACGGCGAAGTATGTTTTTTGAGTGTGCTATTCTATCAGCGTATCTGTTTACTTTTTTTTATTGTTGGTTTCTAAAATTAATAAAATAAATATATTTCATGAATTTCTTTAATAATATCGAAGGAAGCCACGATATTCAGGTAAATTAAGTTGAAGAAAGGGAAATAAAAAAATATTTTGTTCTTTCTGTGGTTGCAATGTGAATCAAAATGCCGTTGTTTCAACATAAAGAAGCTTTNTTTTTAATTTTGTCACTTTCCCGTGGCAGTTTTGTATTCTTAATTTTTCACTACCAGCTGGTGAAGAGTAGAAATATTACATTTTATGACATACAACAATTAAGGGGGACTATTGAAATAACATAAGACATAAGGCGCAGCTTGTGAATTGCCTAACAGTATCTTGTGACTGCTCACTATCTCTAGATTCTGAAGACGACTTAGTAATACAAACCTTTTACTTAATCTAGGCATAATAAATAAATAAAAAATGGCTTACCAAAATATATAAACTACTTATATATATAATACTTATATAATTCCGTCCGTCCGGGTGTGAAAAGTTGGATCCTAGGTTCTGCTCTTTTTCACTGTAATTGAGTCCTTGCTGTACGGTGTATAGGTACTTTGGTTAATATACTGATGTAATGTGTACACATATGTATGTATAATAATAGTTTACAAACTATATAAGTAATACACTAAAATTTGTTTAAAGAAGCACTTTGCAGGTCAAGAAATCTAGTGTAACTGAAACTTCAAACACAGTGTACTGATATTTATTATACTCTTGCAACATGGTGCTACAGAGGGTATAT